TACTTTAATACCAATGCATTTAATTGATATTTGCAATCATTGTTATTGAATGAAACGGATTCAGTCAGTCTTTTGTTGTGGTTAGCTGTGATTGGGCAAAGCTGATAACATGATACAGATGGGCTGTGATTGGCCCTGTCTGTATCATGTGACTGCCTTGACCAGTCACAGCTAACAACATAATTGTATAGAATGGATGGCATGACAGGAAGCCATCCATTGTATACAACTGACATGCTGTGATTGGTCACAACACTGGCAATGGGCTGGTGGAGTGACATGTCATCGACTGTGTCCTGTGGACACAGCCATTGACAGACTGAGCAGCTCGTTTTGACAGGACGTCATATGACATCCAGTCACAACGGCAAGTGTCCCACCTGGCTGTCAATCTGCTCTAGGCTGGGCAGAAAGGTGTTAAACTACTTTTGGTCCCTTGTAAAATGGGGGATGGCTACTCTTAGCTGTAATTACCAAACCCTTCCTCCAATCTGAATGTACATAACCTCAAATTAAACCTGAGAGTGTGCACTTTCAGCCCATATCCATGATATAACTATAGCTTGAATATGTTTTGGTAAATACCTCAAAAAAAATTAAAAAGTTAAAATTGTGCCTGTATCCAAAAATATATATGGACCTAACAGTGTATATATATATATATATATATATATATATATTTATTTTACACACAGTGCATCCAGAAAGTATTCACAGCACTTAACGTTTGCCACATTTTATGTTACAGTCTTATTCCAAAATAGATTAAATTAATTTCTTTGCTCAACATCCTACAAACAATACTCCATAATGACGTGAAAGAAGTTTGTTTTGAAATCTTTGCAATTTATTAAGAATAAAAAATTAAAAAAAAAAACATGTACTGTACATAAGTATTTACAGCCTATGCCATGACACTGAAAATTGAGCTCTGGTGCATCCTGTTCCCACTGATCATCCTTGAGATGTTTCCACAACTTGGGAGTCCACCTGTGGGAAATTCAGCTGATTGGACATGATTAGGAAACGCATAAACCTCTCTATATAAAGTCCCACAGTTAACAGTGCATGTCAGAGCACAAACCAAGCCATGAAGTCCAAGGAATTGCCCGCAGACCTCCGAGACAGGATTGTATCAAAGTACAGATCTGGGGAAGGGTACAGAAAACATTCTGTAGCATTGAAGGTCCCAATGAGCACAGTGGCCTCCATCATCCGTAAATGAAAAAAGTTTGGAACCACCAGGAATCTTCCAAGAGTGGACTGCCCAGCCAAAATGAGCGATCGAGGGAGAAGGGCCTTAGCTAGGGAGGTAACCCGATGGTCACTCTGAAAGAGCTCCAGTGTTTCGCTGTGGAGAGAGTGAGAAAACCTTCCAGAACAACCACCTCTGCAGCACTTCTCCAATCAGGCCTGTATAGTAGAATGGCCAAACTAAAGCCACTCCTCAGTAAAAGGCAAATGGCAGCCCGCCTGGCACCTGAGGGACTCTCAGACCATGAGAAACAAAACTCTCTGGTCTGAGGAAACAAAGGTTGAACTCTTTGGCCTGAATGCCAAGTGTCATGTCTGGAGGAAACGAGGCACTGCTCACTCCCTGGCCAATACCATCCCTACAGTGAAGCATGGTGGTGGCAGCATCATGCTGTGGGGATGCTTTTCAGTGGCAAATAACTGGGAGACTAGTCAGAATCAAAGGAAAGATGAATGCAGCAAAGTACAGAGACATCCTTGATCAAAACATGTTCCAGAGCTCTCTGGACCTTACATTGGGGTGACTGTTCATCTTTCAATAGAACAACCCTAAGGACACAGCCCACATAACAAAAGGAGTGGCTACGGGCCAACTCTGAATGTCCTGGAGTGGCAAAGCCAGAGCCCAGACTTGAACCCGATTGAACATCTCTGGACAGATCTGAAAATGGCTGTGCGCCGACGCTCCCTGATGGAGCTTGAGAGGTACTGCAAAGAAGAATGGGAGAAATTGCTCAAAAATAGGTGTGCCAAGCTTGCTTAAAACAACTTGAGGCTGCAATTGGCGTAAAAGGTGCCTCAACAAAGTGCTGAGAATACTTATGTACATGTGGTTTTTTCGTTTTTTATTTTTAATACATGGCAAAGATTTCAAAATGAACTTCTTTCACATTGTCTATATGGGGTATTGTTTGTAGAATGTTGAAGGAAGAAAATCAATGTAATCCATTTTGAAATAAGGCTGTAACATAACAAAATGTGGCAAAAGTTAAGCGCTGTGAATATTTTCTGGTGTGTTTGTAAAACTACTGTAGCTAAAACACCCCAGAAAAACATCCAAGCACACAGAAGATAATTGCAGACAATTATAAGTTTATACCTAATAAAAACCTTAACATACACATCTGTCTTAGAAAAGAGTGGGACTACTTTATGGATGGTGTGTGTGTATTTATAACTTTCACACAAACCACTATACATGTATTGGGATATTTTGTTTTGTTGTTCACCAAAGACATGTAGCAGAATACATTTTGACCTAAATTTATGACTAAAATTTGAGTTTATTGGATAGTGTAGAAAATAACTTTTTTTTTTTTAATATCACAAAAAAAAAATAAACCCAGTGGTGATCAAATACCTCCAAAAGAAAGCTCTATTTGTATGGGAAAAAAAAGAAAATAAATTTTAGTTTGGGCACATTGTTGCATGTGCTGAAATAGAGCCATGTCAAATAGCAAATAATGGCCTGGTCAGGAAGGGGGGTAAATCTTCCAGAGCTGAAGTGGTTCAAACAAGCATGCCCCGATTCAAAGAGCACATTGTTTAAAAAATATTTCTCTTGGCAGATGCCCTTTAAAAATTCAAAGGGCAACAAACCATAACAGCCACTTATGATTTCAGTGCAGAAGTGTCTAGTGGGAATTTATATCTGATACTAGCGGAAGCATGCTGCAATAGTTTACATGGGCTTATTCATGTTTCAGTGAACATACTAGATGCTGGAGGTGTATGAGTGTGGTGCACGATTTTGTTTAACCAGTTGCCAACCGTGTTATAGCCAAATGACAGCTACAGCGCGGTTGTCCAGTTCTGGGAGGACGTCATATGACGTCCTCTCAGAACGCGCCCTCGGCAATCTCTGTGTTCTACGGGCACAGCTGATCACATAATGTGGTAAACGGCCAATCACAGCGGCTTTTTACCACATGATCAGCTGTGTAATGACACCCGTTCCAGGTCTGTTGGTTCACCAGCAGAAGTTGGCTTCATATTTGTTCTTGTTGGCGACTAGAACAATTGCTGGGGCCTGGAAAAGTACACCTGTCCCTCTTCACAGGGTGCGGGACCACTCTGATGCTCAATGAACATATGTCGAATATCCCTAATGACTCCCAACAGCAATTTTTGAAAATATGGGAGCCGTGCTTTACATATTCTTTTCTCACACTGCCCCCGGCTAGTCTGGGTTTGTGATGCTGTTCGGTATTGGTGTTCCCAGACCCCTGCTTCTGGTCTTTTCTTCACTCCTTTTTCCTCTTTATTTCTGCTTGATTTTGTGAGGTGTGAGTTACTGTTGGTGTCATATCACTGTTTTTGTATTTTATGTGCCATTGATAGCCCCTGCGTGGGCACGCCTTCTGCTCTGTTGGTGTTAGAGCATTGTTCTCTTTATTCCTTATGTGCTATTGATAGCCCCTACGTGGGCATGTTTTGTTGCTCAAATCTTGTTAAAACGTTTCAAAAGTCAATAAAAATCATTGAAATACAAAGTGCGACAGCGCTGAAAGCTGAACATTGGCCTGTGCAGGAAGGAGGTATAAGTGCCCAGTAGGCAAGTGGTTAATAGCGAAGGCAAAACAGACACTGCAAAGATTGTGTTGGTAGTACAAAATTGAACAACTTTGGCAAATCCAAGAGAAAACAACAATTACAATGTGAAAAGACTGCAATATTTGTAAACCTTAAAACAAATGCAAGCAGCCAGTTGCTAGTCAAAAAAGTATTTATTTGCACATAACAGCTCAACAGTTGTAACTTTTCGTACAAAATCTTAAAACACATACATTGCTGACAAAATATTCTGGCTATAGCAGAGTTCAGACTAAGTTTACTATATTCCAAACAGGTTTCATTAACAAATGATCTGTACATACACCTTTCAATTCCGTTTATAAGTACAATATCACCCTGAGATGCTGCCCAGTTGAAATCCAGTTACAGTAGTCATCAAACACAAATACTAGGCCTCAAGGGCCATAAAGTACCTAAAGCCGGAACTGTTTTTCTTTAGTTTTAGATCAAGTAATAAATGGCTAAAACCCCTGTCAAATTTATTTGCGCTGTCTGTGTTCCAATTGAGGGATTTCCCTTAATTTCCTGTTTTAGAGACACAACAGGAAGAGATAGGAAATCTTTCCACATGCGTGAGGAAATCCACCCCTAGACAGTTGCCAGCAGAACAAATGTCCTCTATTCTTGTTACATTGGTAACTGAAAATTTGGGATTTTCCCTTTCAATCTTGGTGACAATGGTCAATCCTCACAGTTGGGACAAAGACAGCAAAACAAAAAAAAAAAAAGACTTGACAGAATTTCTAGTTGTTCCCTACTTTATCTAAAACAAAAAATGGCTTTAGAAGCATTTGAATTTAACACTGGCCAGGAAATTACCCTTTTTTGTAGTGGGCTGGGGGGGGGGGGGGGGGGGTGAGATTAAAAAAAAATATCTAGAGCTGTATCCAGCATAATTCTAAAATGGTAAAATTATAAATAGTGGGCATATATACATATGCAAAATGTTGCAAGGGGAGATATTTAAATTATATTGTAAAATTGACATAAAAAGCAACTTTGCCAAAACAATGAATATAAAAACAGAATGGGAGCAAATAAAGAGGCAAAGATAGGGGAAAGAAATGTTTTATGGTTTTATTTGAAGATCTGAGCTTACATCTCTGTCAAACCACCAAAATTACAAAAATTATGCAAAATAAAATAAAAATAAATTGTGCTTTCCAAAACAATTAGTACCATGCTATTGTTAAGGGAGCACCATGGAGCAACTGTAGTCCATAAACAAGGAATCTGTCAACGCCTTTTGTCTTTCCTGTCTGATTTACGATCTCTCTCACTTCTTGAGGGTCTCTTGCCTGACGGCTACCTTCCGAATTTGTCCTCTTTCGGTCAGACCTTGATGAGCCTTTGTCCTTGGATCCTTTGGAGTCTCTGCTACTGACTTTTGAAGACTTGTGACTCCTTTCTACTCCTGATGTATCTCGACGCTTTCGCTCCGTGCTCCTCCTGCGTTTCTCGTCCCTAACATGCCCTCTCACTCTGCTTCGGCTTCGACTTTCACTGCTACTACTGCTGCTGCTACTACTGCTGTCTCTGCTACTGCTCCCACTGCTGCTGCTACTACTGCTTGAACTGCTGCGACTACTACTGCTGCTAGAGCTGCTTCCACTGCTGCTTGAGCTGGAACTGCTGCTGGAACTACTGCTGCTACTACTACGGCTCCTACTCTTCTCCGCTTTGTTCCTCGTCCTCCCCCTGCTCCTGCTTCTCTTCGCTTTGTGTTCTGATGAGGTAATCTGAGGCTGCTCTACTTGAATCTCTGTGTTCTCAACTATTGCTACACCTTCCTCTTTTTGCACCACCTGCTCCTCTTCAATATGATAGTGTGTTTCCAGCCTTGTTTGAGGTTCATAATCTGCTGGTGGCTGGAACATTGGATCTGGCTCTCTTTCCTGCTCATGCTTTTCTGTGGAATCAGTTTCTGTGTCAGGTTCTGGATCAATTGTTTTATCTGTCTCTGCTTCATCAAATTTATTGTCTAAACCTTCTTCTGCTTTCTCCTCAGTTTCTACTTCCTTACTTTGGTTAGTCTCATCTGCCAACTCCAACCCAGTTGACTGACTGACATCTGCTGCCTCCTGATGATCCTCATCCATACTATCTTTATGTTCCTCCTCTTCCTTTACTTCCTCCTCAACCTCTGCTTCCTGCTCCTCCCACTTACTAATCTGGGGCTCTTCTACTACAACTCTACCCTCTTCCTCAATCTTCTCCTCAACTTTAGAATCTTCACCATCTTCCATAAGGCTAGTCTCTTGCACAATCTCTACATCCCTAACACCAACATCCTTCTCTTCCTCAAAGGTGTCCTCCATCTCTATGTCATTAGACAGGTTACCTGTCTCCTCAACTCTCTCATGCCGAGCCACCTTACCATCTTCTCGATCCTCCTTCTGTTCTTCATTTTCACCGTCTTGCTTCTTTTCTTGATCTTTTTCTTTCATGGAATGGCGCCTAGGCCTAGCTTCCATTTTGTTTAAATGCTCAGCAAATTCAACTCGTCTTTTTTCAAATATACCTGAAATAGAAAGAAAACAAAATATAGGGTGAATAAACATGCTATATACAAGGTAAAACAACTGTTTGCCATCCTTTGTGAACCAGAACTATGAACATTTATAGGTTAACTGCTTTAGCGCCACCCCATAGCAGAAATACTGCTACAGAGCAGCAGCAGTGCGCAAAATCACGTGTATATACGTGACTTTGCATTTCCGGGTAGGGGGCGCACGCACCCTACCCACGCCGTCATTTGCGTCCGTCAATCATCAGGTCCTGGGAGGTGATTACTCACCAGTGCCCGGTGATTGCCAAGGACCTGCAACAGGGGGGAGAACTGTTAGTAAACAAAACAGTTCTCCCTGTTAGCTCATGCACACTGCTGTGCATGGCTCTGCACAGCACAGCCATGCACAGCAGTGTGCTTACAGTGAAGCACAGACACAGAACATATTGTAAAACACACAGCACACAGTTAACCCATTGATCTCCTCAAATGTGAACTCCTTCATCCCCAGTGCCATTAGTACAGCGTCAGTGCTTTTTATTAGCACTGATCACTGTATTGGTATCACTGGGAATGTCAGTGACACCAAGTCAATTCCCCCCCCTCCCCCGTGTCAGGATGCCCGCCGCAGTCCCACTGTAAGTCACTGATTGCCGCCATTACTAGTAAAAATAAAAAGACCACTATATACCGCTATTTGTAACCGCTATATCTTTCATGTAAACCAAATTTACATGTATTGGGATTTTTTTTCTTAGCAAAGACATGTAGCAGAATACATTTTGGCCTAAATTTATGATGAAGTTTGATTTTTTTTTTATTGGACATGTTTAATAGCAAAAAGTCAAAAATATAGTTTTTTTCTCAAAATTGTCTTTTTTTTTTTTTTTTTTTATAGTGCAAAAAAAAAAAAACCAAAAAAAAACCAAAAACGCACAGGCGATCAAATACCAACGAAAGAAAGCTCTATTCGTGGGGGGGAAGGACATACATTTCATTTGGGTGCAGCATTACATGATCGCGCAATTGTCAGTTAAAGTAACGTAGCGCCGTAATGCAAAAAATGGCCTGGTCAGGAAGGAGGGTAAATCCTCTGGAGGACAAGTGGTTAAATTTAGCCGTGTAGTACTAACTCCGCACAGAAAAAAAAAAAGATTGAAAATATGCCATATTTATTAAGTCCCTTAAAGCAAAATATACAAGTCGTCATAGCAACCAGATTATACCACTCTATAAAATTGTTAATTAGTTGGTAGAGACAATTTTGTTTTTCCAAGTCATAAGGTGCAAGGCAACACAAGAATTAGGTAACTTACCATTCAACTTTTTCTGCGACTCATCAAATAATTTTTGTGTTGGTGGGCACATCCTGCCAGGTATATAGAACAGGTGGGGTTTCGTTTTTGTTCTAATATATTTGATAATTTTGATATTGTGCTCATTCCACTCTTCTTGCTAAAAACAAATGGTCAAGAATTAGAACCAGCCTGAGATAAAGATTTTAGCAACCAATGCTACTCCCCTAACCCCCATCCACCACTCACATCTGTATTTACGGCTGGCAACTATATATATTTATATAATTTTTTTTTTTTAATCACACACACACAGTACCCATTGTATGTGACATTTTGTCGATCACGTAATTTGCATGCTCAGTTTGCCTTCCTTTCAGTGTACAGCATTTTGAAAAACTGTAAAATATTTGTGAAAGAAAAACATTTCGCTCCATTTACTTACCAGGTGTGCCAGCTCAACTTTCTGCTCCAATAGTCGCAGCTCAGTTTGCTTGGCACGCCTTTCTTCAAAAAGCTCTCGGCGTTCATTTTCCACCTGTTTCTTTTCTTCTTCTGCCTGCACTTCCAGTTTTTGCTCAATTTCTTGACGTCGCTTTTGCTATGGTAAGATAAACAGATCTGGAGTCAGCAGCTCGTTTTTGTAATGGTGTACAAATAATTTTGCATACACAAACAGGTAGCCGTAACAGGTTCTAAATAGGAAGAACAATCCACAACAACACACACACCACAGATCAATCTGTACCCAACTAACAGAGAAGGCCGACTACTGCAGTGGAACATTTACCACTGTTTGTTGGATATATAAATTTATACATTAGGACATGTGTGGTTTGTTTTGTTCCAAATCGAAGTTCTGCATTTCATTATTTGGAGATTTGGATAACCGAATTTCAATAGCAACGAATTTAAAATAATGAAATTTGAATCACATTTGAAATGTAAACATATTGCTGATTACAACAGAATAAAACAAAATAGAAAATAAATAAAATAGAATAAAAATAATATTATTATACAGTATTTATATAGCGCCAAAGGGTATGCTCAGCGCTGTACAGTAGCAAAGGGGACATAACATGAGACAAGACAGTAACAATACAATACACGAGGGGTTCGAGGGCCTTGCTCTTTCAAGCCTACAATCAGGAGAAAATAGACTACAGACGTCTTCTGAACTTAGAATTTCAAAATTTGAATTTCGAATAGAATGAATATAGCGGTCTTCCAAAATTAGAATTTTTAAAAAGAGAAGAATAAAACAGAATAGAATATAGAGGAAAAGAATAGAAAAGAATAAAAAAATAAAATAAATTAGAATAGAAAAAATAGAATTGAACAGAAAAAATATAGCAGTCTTTCAGAATTTGAATAGAACAGCTATTCTTCACAATGAATTCCCCCCCCCACCACAAATAGAGCTTTCTTTCGGTGTTATTTGATCACCTGTGCAGTTTTTTATTTTGTTGCGCTATAAACAAAGACCAACAATTTTGAGAAAAAAATAATAATTTTGACTGCTACATGCCTTTGCTAAAAAAAAAAATACCAATATATTTAAATTAATTGGTTTACGTGAAAGTTATGGCATCTACAAATGGCAGTATACATACTGGAATTTTTATTTTACTAGTAATGGCAGCGATCAGAAACTTATTGCGGGAGGTATTCTGACACTGGGGGGGGGGGGACTAACTGCCACGGACATCCCCAGTGACACCAATACAGGGATCAGTGCTAATAAAAAAGCACTGACGCTGTACTAATGACACTGGGCAGAAAGGGGGGTAACATCTGGGGCGATCAAAGGGTTAACTGCATGCTGCGTGTGTTTTACTAGGGAAACAAGCTGCTTTGTATTGCTCTGCTGTGGCGTCGGGCAGGTAGTTTTTTTTCTACCTTTAGCCCTGTGCGGGCAAGCAGCAGTGCTGCCGCCTGAATGCTTCCACACAGTGCCAGCCTCTCCACCTCCCCGTGTGAAGCTCCCCCTGCCCACGCTTGCCCATCTGCACGCCCGGGACCGGCTCACCACCGGCGGATAGAGGGGAGGAAGGAGAGCGGACACATCCACTCCCCTCCCCTTCTTGTCCCGACATGGAAAGTGACGTTTGACATCACTTCCAGGTCCCCATTCACAGATTCCCGGCAATGGAGGCCAGGAAAGAATGTAATGCGGTGCGGTGTGTGTGTGTGTGTGTGTGTGTGTGTGTGTGTGTGTGTGTGAACCTGTTACCAAAAAATCATCACATAGGGCACATTGTCCCCATGTAAAAAAAAAAAAAAAAAAAAAAAAAAAAAATTTTTTTTTTTTTTTTTTTAATTGTAAAAAAATAAAAGTTACACCCATGCACATAACATGATGCTCAGTGCCCACCCAGTGCACCAGTCAGTGCAGCATCATCAGTGCCTCACTGATGCCCACCAATGCCACCTCATCAGTGCAGCCTATCCGTGCCACATCAGTGCAGCCTTATCAACACACATCAGTGGAGAAAAATTACTGTTTGCAAAATTTTATAATAAAAACAAAAGCTCTTTTTTTGTTTATAGTGCAAAAAATAAAAAAGCCAGTGACAATTAAATACCACCAAAAGAAAGCTCTTGTGTGTGAAAAAATGTATTAAAATTTCATAAGGGTATAGTGTTGTATGACCATGCAATTGTCATTGAAAGTGCGACAGCGCTGAAAGCTGGATATTGGCCTAGGCACAAAGGGGGCAAAAGTGCCCAGTAGGCGAGTAAAGGCGGTCACATATTTGCGCCAAAAAAAAAAACAAAAAGGACTAGGCAATACCAATTGCATAAAACATCACTTTAATCTTCCAAGGAGATAAATGTACTATTCAGTACAAAAAGAAGCGGCATGAGGTCCAATCTAGTAGTCAGTGAACACTACTGACAATAGAACAAAGACTCACTAGCATAATTTTCTTTTGTTTTCCAGGCACATGGGATTTGTCTTGTGACCAGTTAAGGGGTCATATTTAACAACATTACAAATAAAGTTTGTTTTAACACCTACTCTTTCTGAAGCAACATTTGATTCTTGTTTAAACTTTTGAAGGGTACCCATCAACAGGCCAAATATTCGCCGATTTCTACAAAAGAAGGGAAAAAAAAAACAAAAAAAAAAAAAAAAAAAAAAAACACATTACAGCAGTCACCCAATGTTTTATTAAAAAAATCCATCAATGAGAAAATTTTTTTCTTCGTTACCAATTTCAGCTACCTTCTCATTTGTATACACTACATGCTTCTCCTAGTCAGGGCCAAGTGGCAAATTCAGCCCTTCATCTAAAATGGTTTTCCGACTATATTTAATCCTGGTGTTTGAATGCTCTATCAGCACAATAGTTATGAGAATCACATGTACTGTAAACAACAGACTGCTTAGATCTGGGTTCTGCTGTGTACTGAGCACTCATAGGAAACATGGCAGAATCCGCAATGAAAATACAAGGTTTCAATAATTTCACTTTTTTCCCCCAATATGTAGGATAGAAAGGATACATCTTCCTCAACCAAGCCTGAAAATATAAACAAAATACTGCTGAAAGTGATTCTAAAGACTAAGCATTTCTTACCCTAATGCTTTCCCTGCATTAAGATAACCTTAGCCTTGGTTCACACCTGTGCAACTTATGCGATTTGACCGTTCCAAATCGCATGACAAGTTGCACCCTATTGTCGGCAATAGAACCATTCAAATCGGTGTGACTTCAACTCGAATCGGGGTCGCACCAATTTTAAAAATAGTTCCTGCACTATTTTTATTGATTTCAGGTGTGACTTACACTGACATCTTTGCACGAAGTCACACAAATGTCAGACAAGTTGCACCTGAACTCACGCTACGTTAAGTTCGATTTCAATACTGCATTCAGTGTGAACCAGGGGTCACCCAATTACGTCTACCAGAGTCCTCACTCGATTCAGTGCTGTGCCTGCCTTTAGCAGCTCTCCTCACGCTCACATGTTTTGCTGAGGCAGCAGGAGCCATTGGCTCCCACTGCTGGCAATCAAATCCTGTGGGGAGGGATAGAGTGGTGCTGTCTGTGTTTATAGAAGCAGACAGCACGGCTCGGAGTCAAGCTGGCAGGTGTACCCCATAGCAAGGGGATTCAGTAGAGAAGGAGCCAGGAGCTCTGGCGAGGGACCCAAGAAGAGAAGGTTCGAAGCTGCTCTGTGCATAAAATGTTTTGTTATTTCAAAAAAAAATATGACTTTACAATCACTTTAAAACACTTCACGTCTAAGGGTAAAAGAAGTCTTAAATCATAAGCACAATTTTGCAACTTTGACGTGTTAACAAAACTGTACATAGCACCACAAACTACTTTGTGCATCTAGGTGGATTATACCGGGGTTTTTTTCATGAAAAATTGGGCTTTCATTTGGTGGTAAAGGGTAATGGGTATCTTTTTTTTTTTTTTTTTTTTTAATCTAAAAGGAAAAAGTGACCCCCTCCCCAAAAAAAAAAACTTGTATATTTCTTGCTACTACCATAACCAACCACCAAAGAACATAAAATTTCTCCTGCTCCTGACGATCACAGCGATACCACATATATGTATGTTAGTACCCGTAGTACGGCCCAGAAACAATAGTGTGCATTTTGCACTTTTTTTTTTTATCCTGCCACTAAACTGGCACTGATACTAAGACAAAGAAAAAAAAAATACTGACCCTGACCCAAACCCTGTCACTGAACAAGATCAAACCTTGATCTAGGTATTTTTATTTATTTAGTATATTTACAATTACTTTTTTTTTTTTTCTGTCTGAAAAGGACAGAGATACGATGCATCTCTTTCCTCCATTCAGAGAGAAAAAAACGGGCCAGGCTTCACAGTGACTGATCACTGCGATATCCAATCAGAGGCTTTCAAGAGATCATGTGACCCAGTTCTCACTGACACACCAATCAAAGACAGGTATGCAAACTAGTGGCCCTCCTAAAAAAAGCTCAGTCCACTAGGGCCACTAATTTGCGCATGCTCGACGCCAAGAGTTAGATACTTGCTGTTTACCTTTGCTTCCCTTTTTCATCCATATTTTGGTCCTGGATAAGATCTCGGCGTGTACGTTCTTTGGAGGTAGCAACAACTGAGGATTGCAACGCCGGCTGAAACATAAAATAATGTTTACTACCTGGAATCCCTAAAACAGTTCTCGTTGTACATTCTCAGTTCAAAATGGCAATACATACTTTTTTATCGTCCTCATCCTCAGCGTCGCTTTCCTGGCGTGACTCTCTCCTCTGCCGACGATCCCCGCCCAGCCTGGAATAATTTGCCAAGTTCATGTTTACATATAGGCATATAATGAAATCTTAATTAAATAGATCTAGTACTTTAAGGACTAATCTACACTAGTAAATAGTTACTGGTGACCAGGGACCTGTCTGTACTACGGAGAGACTTTAGGCCAGTGATTCTAAGCTGGATTTTAGTTGTTTTGGGATTACATGTTTTCTTTCTCCTGCTGTTGCTGTTTCTCTGGATTTCTGAAACTGGTTCAATTCCTTTACTTGGCAGTGTAAAGTTGGGGCCTGAGCCAAACTGCTGCCTGCTAAAAGCTGGCATTCATCCAAAAGCCTCCAGAATATCTGAAGTAAACATACAGGTTTTCTACACTGTTTCATTACTTGTTTGATGTGTACAAAGGTCATTTTAATTGGGTCTTAAAAAACAATTCACTCACTCATTGACCGTCACCTAATTTTCACAAAATTGATTGCAATGTGCTGCAAATTAGGCAATTGCCAGTAGGTGGTTATACTGCTGATCAGAAAAATTAAAAACAGTGCAGTTTACTGATCAGTATTTCTAGTACTGAACATCCACACCAACCTGTCTTGGGCTAGGTTTACATCTGTGTCTGCTGTGGAAATGAGTGGAAATTGCACGCATTTCCACACCTGCATGCAGACACGCACAAAGCAAGATGCCATTAACTTAATGGCAACCCCACGCAATGAAAAATGTGGTGTGGTTTCCCACACATGGAAAAACGCATGGTACAAAAGCGCCATGTGATTTCCGTGCGGCCAGGTTTTAAAAAACCTGCAGGAACCTTTTCCCTGCAGGAAACAAAGTTATAGCAGCTCACTCAAATTAATGGGCTGCCATGCCTGAGCAAATGCAACACTCAGAGCCGCATACATGTGAACCAGGCCTTAAGGAGAACCAAGAATTTAGAGCACCACCTTCTTTCAAAAGAATCAATGACAGAAGTTTGACTATTGTTCTACATGAGCCACCGCATTTTAGAAATAATCTCAATTAGGGAAGCAACCTTGAATACTTGGCACTTGTGTTTACAAATGTGCCATTTTTTTACACAATATAGCTTTTTAATTTAGCTCACCTGCTCAGTGCACCTTCAAAGTCCCGCTGTTTGGCTGGGGGTCCTCCTCCACCTTCAGAGAGTCCACGCCTAGCAGAAGAAAAATAATAACCATTTATCTTTAAATATTGGAAGAATAAGCACAGTATCTTCAATGTAAGCTTTGTTTTTGATGATCTTTGTTGTGTGGGTGGCAACCAGCTTTTCATGCCTCTCAAGATGTCCTTTTTCTTGATCATTAACTGAAGATTTTCCAAGGGAACTTAAAGTGGTTGTAAACCCTTGCATATACCCAGTGAAGTGACTAGCCTCAGAGGATACACAGAGATTAAACAAATCCTCCTACATAGGTTGTAACTGTCTATATGCAGTCTTCTCTCTTCCACAACCATTCAAAGTCCTGAATTAATGAAGCTTGTATACGTTCACAAAACAGGGGGCAAAGAGCTGAAATTACACTCTGCAGAGCTCAATAAGGAGAGCTCTGAGAGCTGATTGGAGTGAAGGGATGCCCCCCCTCCCCCTTTCACACAGGAACAGAGCTGAGGCTGTTAATCTGCTGGAGGTCCCTCCCATGTCACCATTTTCCTCCTGGTGTCAGGAAAACTTGTCAGAAGTGATATATGCCGATAGCAGAATAATGAAGCATCAGACAGAAATGACACTTCGTGCTTTGGATTGAGACAAGTACACACTATAGAGGGATATACCTTGTTCATATTTCATGTCTGAGGCTTACAACCACCTTAAAGTGTATTTCCACTTTTGCAGGCAAATGGGGAGGACATCTACTTTATATATTTTACAGGTTCCCATTAAAGCAGAGCCAACCTCTGTGAAACTTGCCTATCATTCAATAGTCTTATGTTCCTCGGTGAGGTCTTCTACCCTGCATCTTCCAAGTGCTGGGTTTAATGACATTTTAACCCTGTCTGTACTATGTTCCCAGTTCTTCATTATCATCTTTAACCTAAATTTTAACATTGTCCTAACAAAGGGTTAAACATTTAGAAACCACCCACCTGCATTGTACGTTAATAAGGAATAGCTTAATCTAGTTGGGGACAGACACAGACTGCCCAGAAATGTGTAGAATCAGCCATGAAACCTGCTGTGCAGAAGCATATAAAAAAGTATTTTTTTTATTTAGTGTTTTAGGTATGCTGTGTGAAGGGGAACACAAACATATCGTGGGGTTTTCTCAAATTTGGCTGCAAAAGTGGAAATAAGCTTTACATGATTCCAAGGACAAGGGAATAAAAACCCCTCTAAGATTCTGCTTTGCGTCAAAAACTCCAATGTACTGAACAGTGCTAAACTAATTCCTATGCAAGACTTATGTGGTATCCATACGTTGCCCATATCATTCAGCCTAACTTCTGCCAACTCAAGATTGGTTTTTCCTTCAAGTGCTCCAAGATTATCAAAATCCTTCCCTGTAACAACACTTACACCCAGAAACTCAGCTGAGAATCCTAACTTCATCGTACATATGGTGTGTCCTTTAATCCTAACACTAGACAAAGGCAGTGAGTTTAAAGATAAAATGGAAAGTCCCTTACCGTAGCACAATGCCACCACGGCCTCTACCTCCAATCGCATTTGGGCCTGTGATGGTCAGTCGTCTTGCTGGTGCAGGTCTGAAATACAACAAAGGCAATTAGGCAAAGCTATGTCAAAGTATAAACTAGTTTTCTTATCTACTTTAGCATCCAGTGTTTCAGTTTCTGTTTTGCAAAATGTAAAAGCAGTCAGTAAATAATCAATTTTTGTTTTGCAAAATGTAAAAGCAGTCAGTAAATCACTCACTTAGTCTGAACACTTCACAGGCCAAATAGCTTTCTGTAACAGTTTAATTCCAACAATCCCATAGAACAGGGCTTAAAATTTCAAATCCTGAGCTACTAGCCAGGCCTTAATAGTTACTCGCCACCAACAAAACACACACAAACAGACACCTGTACACACAGACATGTACATACACATACAGAAACATGTACACACACACACACACAGGCACATACAGACATGCATACACACAGATACATGTACATACACAGAAATACACACGCACAGACACACACACACGCGCACACACACACACACACATACATGCATGCATGCATGCATACACACACACACAAACACGCACGCTGTTAACTGCTCTCTCCTCTCCCCTGAAGCCACCACTGGCTGACAGAGGATCATGTGAGCAGAGTGAGCTGAAATAAGGTAGACACACACTCAGAAACACACACACACACACACCCCTATAAAAAGTTGCAGTACTTCGTTGTTCACGCACAGAGCCGAGTACTGCACTCTAGGGGGAGGCAGAGAGCACAACACACACTCCCTTTGCTTTCACTGCGCTCAGCTATTGAGCAGTCTGACGGCTCCCAGTGCCAATGACAGATCCGGCCTGAGCAGCAAGACCATCCCCACCACAATTTCCACTCGCCATTGGCGAGCGGAAATTTCAAGGCCTGCCATAGAAGACTCTCTTACTTGTGAAAATAGCTTGTCCAGGAAGAACAAAGTCAATAAATATAATATATATTTCACTAAATATAGCCTTGCAAGGGCAGATTACTCTCCCACAGATTTAGAGAACAAAAAAATATTAAAAAAAAAATAAATTACGTACACACACAAAGTTATATGGTATCTCATTGTGGCTTATAAAAAACAAAACCGTCTGAAGCGTCCATATTTTCATATGCAGCATGGCGTGCTCGCAGCTCAGAGACTGGGCTCTCACCAGGAGCCCCAGGTCCTTGAACTCCCAGTTACAGGTCACCTGATCTCTGTGATAGCCTCCGATTCCCCATCACAGTGATCCCATGTTTTCTTTTCTCTGAATGGAGGCAGTGATGCGCTCTCTCTCTATCCTTGCAGTGAGAAAGATGTAAACAAAAGTGTGTAAAATAGCTAGATCAAGATTTAATCTCAGTTAGTGCCAGGGTTAGTGTTTGGGTAAAGTAAAGGTCAAAGGTTGGGGTCAAAAGTCATGGTCAGTATATTTTGGGTAGGATTTTTTTTTTTTTTTTTTTAAATTCGTATTAGGGTCAGTATGTTTTGGGTAGAACAAAAAAATGCACACTATTGTTTCTGGGCTGTACGAATAACTGATGTATACATGTGTTATTGCTGTGATCAGCAGCAGGAGAATTTATTTTGGGTTGTTTTTTGGTGGTAGGTTATGGTTATAGGAGGAAATATACAGCCACATTGAATTTATTGTTTTTTACCACTTTGAGCTATTTTTCCTTTGATAATAAAAAATATAATAAAAGATAATCGGTTACAATTTACCAACAAAACCAATTTGTCCTGAAAAAACAAGGTATAATCCACCCGAATGCACAAAGTAATTGAAATGATATATATACAGTTTAAATAGCACATCTCAAAATTGCAAAATGATCGTCAGGGGTTAACATTTGTTTTACCCTCAGTCACTAAGGTGTTAATAAAAAAAAAACCACAAGTTTCTGCATCTCTGTGTTCATAAATACAATCATGCAAAAAAGTAAGTGCTCCCTGTGAATATTCTGGTTTTCCAATATATTTGAACAGGATACCATAGATCTTGACTCAAACAATATCTACAGATAATAGGACCCACATTGAACAAATGACACATAAAAGTAACATGGTGTTATTATCTAAATTAATGAAAATGCAGATTTGTCATAAAAAAATTCACCTTACATTAACCACCAACTCAAAGCCATTAAATTGGAATCCTTTGTTTCAATTAGGTTCTCTTTGCTTTCGATGGAAGTAGTGTCATCATGCAAAGATCAAAAAAGCTCTCTAAGGCCCTCAGAAAGAGTTGTTGCCTACAAGTCTAACAACAATCACCAAACTATCTTTAAATCACTCCACTGTAAGGAAATTACATTTTAAGTGTCATTGATCTCAAACTGCTAGTTTGTCCAGGACAGGAGCTGATCATTTGCTGCTAAAAGTGGCCAAAAACCCCGAAATTGTATTGGGAGGTGCTCAGGTAACTCTTACAAACCGTTGGGGTCAAAGTGCATGCATCTACAGAGACTGCATTCAACCAACATGAGATGTATGTTAAGCAAAAAGCCTTTACTGTCCAGAAAGAACATTGGCGCACGATTACAGTTTGTCATTGAACATACAGGCAAACACCAGATCTTCTCGAACATGGTCCTGAAGACTTTCCAAAAGAGTTGTCTGGTCACAGTAATAGACAAGTTTGCTGCAGACTGAGCTTAATATTTCAGGAGAACCACCTCATAACTTTGAGGGCATATTCATGCCAGATGTGGTGGGACTGCGTTGGGTGGCTATTCCAGTGCAGTTCCACCACATGACAAGGAAAAATGCTTGGTTTCCCAAGTGACTGGCTCACAGCACTGCATTGCGAAGGTATGCAGTGGGGAAAAAAAAAAAGTATACCTGGCTGTATTTTTTTTTGCACAGTGCAGTATGAGGCAATTCATTACATTTGGCTGCCACAAGGTGCAAGGTAACAATGGCTGGTGTGAATGTATCCTGAAACATGGTGGATGAATAGGATATGGTTTGGTGTTGCTTTGCTGCTTCCAAGACTGAGCAGCTTGGATTCCCTGAGTCGGCCATACATTCTGCATCATATCAAAGTGTGCTTTATGAGAATGGGAGGCCACCTGTCCAAAAGTTAACTGTTATCCAAAATGGAGTCTTTCAACATCACAATTCGAAGCAAATACACCAAACAAAAGATAAAAAAAAAAAAAAACAGTTATGAACAGCCTTAGCCACTTGTCTTGACATATGCTCTCCCAACTACCAGGAACTATAGAGGCAACACTGTTGTGACCATCAGGATACCCACCCTGAGAAATGCTGTTAAACAGTTGCTGACCTGTAAGCATGTAGACAGGGCTAGGGCCCCCAACTTGTTTACAAGTTTGCCGAGAACAAGGCACCTTCTTACATATTTGACAGTACTGCCCCAGGGCTTCCAGATACGTGTATACAACATACCTACAACAGTTTTAAATATCAACCTCACTCGTATTCCCTGAGAAGCTCTGCTGCATATTCCCACTCCAGTGGAAGTTGGTGGAGTGTGTGTTTCTAGCAGTTAAGCAAACGTTGGCCAAAGCTTGGAAACAACCAACTATCAACTGCAGAAGTAAAACAGAATGATGGCATCATGATACCGGAGAAACTTACAATACTCAACACCACCAACGCTAAATGTCTCAAGGTCCTGGACTACAAAAGCCACATGAACCTTGACAGCTCTCCCTTTTCCTTCTATCCGGAACGATCGGGCTATACAGGAATGAGTGCTCGGCCAGGCCTCATCGATCCCTCATGTTCCTTCCCTTCTCCCCCTTTCTTTTCTATACCCTGTCTTCGTTCTATCTTTTATCGCAAAACAAAGTCTTGCAAATAAATTCCTCCTTCAAACCTGCACATAATCATGTCGTGAATTTGCTCAACAGGATTTCCTGCATGGGCACACATTGTATACTTGTTGGGGTATGCTAAAGTAAGAAAAGTCATCTGGAACTGCCATGACCTTTCACTTATACTTTGTATCTCATTCCTTGAATTTTGTACTTTTCCACAGTTTTCTACTTGATTATAAAAGTTTGTGACTTACACTTTAGCCTACTGTACAAAATAAAAACCCTCAATACAGTATTTGTGAAATAGACAGGACTGGGGCTGCAAAGAGCCAGCAGTGCTGAATTGCAATAAACAAAGCAAAAAAGGTAAAAAAAAAAAATGTATGAAAAAAAACCCTTGAAAATGATTTCTGATGCACAGTGCTTTGTAGGCTTAGCTATAATGTCGGACAGGGTACCCACCTCCCCTCTCCAGATGGCTGTCCGAAAAAACAGCAAAGAGATGATTGCTTGAAAATGAGGTGCATGCATCGGCCCCAAGATCTTGCCGAAGACAAGTCACCGCCAGGGGAATGCAGAGGGACTGGAGGCCGAGACTCCCTGCGTACCTCTTGCCATTACTTGTCTTAGGAAAATAGGTAGGAGGGTGTTAAACTGTGGTGTCATGTTTGGGCGAATACCCTGGTGTGGTGTCAGTAGGTGTGGGGGATTTCTTGTGTCATGGAGGGGGGTGTCTGTCCTGAGGTGTTGGGGAGGGGGGTGTTTCCTGTGGTGTCAGCAGGTCAGTACATGTTGAAGGATATCCTGTGGTGTCAGTTTGGTGTGGAGAGGTAGCTTGAGATGTTAGAGAGGATGCAGAGGTGTGCCCTGTGATGTCGTGGGGGGGATCCCCCGAAACCACCCAGTGAGAATGCCGTCCCACCCAGCAGCATGCCCGAATCCAGTCCCCTCCATGTGCAAATCCAAGATCTGCCACTTCTGTCGCTGAAAACAAAGTATTGCTACTATAAAAAAAAATTTTTAGTTGCCTCCTGATTCAAAGAAAATTTGTCAAGCCCTGCTAGATCAGATTTTTATATATATATTTATTTATTTTAACTTGGTTTACATTTCTTCAGTTACTGCCCGATTTCCAGGTCTAGGCAAATTATGTCATACATCCCAGGAGTCTTCAGGAGGGGCTCTCAGCCAAGCACACCCTCCTGCCTGAGCTAAGGGCAGATGGATTCCAGGAAGTAAATGCTACATGGATCATCTGCCCTCACTCAAGTTGGCCACAGCCAGAAATGCTCAAAGGTGTTTTCCAAAGTGATTTCTTAACAAAATAAATCATGAAGACATGGATAGAAGGGGGGGGGTTGCCTTGAATGTCAAAAATAAAAGTGTTCCTAAACCCAGGACCCTGCATTCACTATATCTGGTCTCCCACAGTACACACTACATGGAAATGCAATGATTTTAGTGAATATAAACTGCTAAATACCTTTTCTCATCAGCAGTTAAAGCAGTCTTGTGATTTCAGCAGAGCACTGGTTAAAGCTTGAAGGAGTTTACTTTCTGCTCTAGGAGGATGCAGAACCCCTGACCTCTGTCTGGACATTGCTGATTGGCCCTGTGCTGATCACATGCACTCCCAAGAAAAAAAAAAAAAAAAGCAAAGCCCTCTCTAGCAATACACAACAAACTGAACATGTGAATGTGACTACAGATTCAGTCTGTATGAGGTGGTCATTTCAACGAGGAGCAGAGAAGACAGGATCAAACAGTATTTTTACACAATGCAGAGGATTAACCCCTTAGGTTCCAAAGTGTGCATAACAAGCATGCTTTACTGCATATACAGACTGATTTTACCGTTGTTGGTTTAGTAACACTTTAGCTAGTGTTCTGGCTTCTTGTGCTCAGATGCAGTGGAGTTCCACTTTAACAAAAGGACAAGGATCTTTGTTTCAGCCATGTGACTAAATGTTCAAATTCTACTGGACAGGGATGAAATTAGAAATGAACAAGGATCCTTCTTACATAGTTATAGTTAGTCTGGCTGAAAAAAGACAAAAGTCCATCCAGTTCAACCATAGAAAAAAAAAGGTTCTAATCCTACACCCACAGCTGATCCAGAGGAAGGCAGTGTACTGAGTGCTTCTATTGTTACCCCTAAAGTGAGAGCATTCAACAAGCCAGAAAGAATAGCAGACTGCAGTCTACACTTTGGCCGTGGTCACACCTGTGAGAGGGGATGGAAATAGTGGGTGGATCCACGGTCTTGCTGCCACCCCCCCCTGATAGTTGCCACAGGCGGCAGCCATGCTAGTATCCGGAAATGTTTACATGTTGCTGAACCACCACCAAAGCCAACCCATTCATGGGGTTCATAGTTTGTCAAACGTGACCCCCAAAGGCTTGTTTTCTTTGTGATCCACAGTATGGCTGCTCCTGATTGGCTGCTTTAAGCACACTGCAAACATGTGCATTACACATGATTTCCTATTCACTTGAAAGGGTCAGATTTGGTGACGGGTCAAGAAAAATGTACGCATTTCACCATACCGCCAACCATACATGGACATGGCCCCTGGCTCTGTTAATTTGCAGGTTAAGAAGCAGTAAAAATAGTTTTACCACCCCCCAAGTAAATGAAAGTAGCCAGAGGCCAGGTCAGTACACACGTCGCAGTGCGGTGAAATGCATACATGATGCTGAAACACCGCCAACCAAAACCCATTCAAGTGAATAGGACCACATGTAATGCACACATGTGGGGTGATGCAGGCTATCAGCAGCCAATCAGGAGCAGACATCCGGCAGATGGGAGTATCGCCGGGGCGCTGAGCTGTACGGTGATGTACACATGGAAAGGAGCCCTCACAGCAGAGAATACAGAATTTATTAAACATTCACTGTGGATGAATCTTCCAGCTGCATGCCAATGATTGATCCACCAACAGTGAATGTTTGGTGAAAGTCACATTCCCCCAGGATGGTCTCTGCAGGGGGCAGAGACCCAGAAGTCCCAGCATGCTGTGCGGAGCCCGGCCTTTCTCAGCTCTGTCCCACCCCATGGAGGAGGAGGATGGAGTGCAGGCCATGCGGCTCCGCTCTGCTCCTCTCCGGATCTCCCCAGGACCCCCACACCTCACCCGCAGGGCCACCTCCTACCTGGTATCGTTCGGGTCGCGGCCGGTCAGTTTGCGGATGTTCTCATCCACATTTTTCAGATTCTCCTTCGCCTTTTCCAGTTGTTCTTGCAGAGTGCGCACAGCTACCGCCATCTTGTCCGCCCAACTCGCTCTGCAATCTGTTCCGGGTTATGGCGTGGACGGCCTCTGATACGACAGACGTCTCCTGAGGAATGGCGGAAGTGAAGTCAGGGAGAGGGTAGAGCAGGCCAGCCTGCAATGCCCACCAATCCGAGAAAGGGGCGTTCCCTACGCTGAGGCGCGAAATGCACGTAGAATGAGCGTAAACAAGGCGTCGGGCGGGCGTAACCTAGGCATAGACTAGACGTAGAGCGGGCGTAACCTAAGAGTAAATTAGGCGTAGAGCGGGCGTAAACTAGGCGTAGAATGGGCGTAAACTAGGCGTAAGGTGGTCATAACTTAAACAGACATAGTCTGAGGGTACTTACATAGAAAATTGTGAGGGTGGGCTGTATGCCTCATACACATTGGTGTATTGTAAAATGCTTTCGCCTGACAGGAAAAAAAAATCAGCCTTAACCACTTGACTACCGGGCACTTCCCCCCATTTCTACCCAGGACCATTTTCAGCTTTCAGCGCTCTCACACTTTGAATGACAATTGCGCGGTCATGCAACACTGCACCCATATGCAATTTGTATTATTGTTTTCAAACAAATAGAGCTTTCTTTTGGTGATATTTAGTCACCGCTGGGTGTTTTATTTTTTGCACTATATATAAAAAAACAAAAAAAGTATTTCTTTGTTTCTATTATAAAATTTTGCAAACAGGTAATTTTACTCCTTCACTGATGTGTGTTGATGAGGCTGCAATGATAGGCAGCACTGATGAGGTGGCATGGATAGGCTGCACTGATGGGCACTGATAGGCGGCACTGACTGACGGCACTGCTGGGCACTTACTGGTGGCACTGCTGGGTGGCACTGCTAGGCACTACTGGGTACAGGTGGGTGGCACTGCAGGGCACAGGTGGGTGGCACTGATGGGTACAGGTGGGCAGCACTGATGAGGTGGCATGGATAGGCAGCACTAATGGGCAATGATAGGCAGCACTGACTGACGGCACTGCTGGGCACTTACTGGTGGCACTGCTGGGTTGCACTGCTAGGCACTACTGGGTACAGGTGGGTGGCACTGCAGGGCACAGGTGGGTGGCACTGATGGGTACAGGTGGGCAGCAATGATGAGGTGGCATGGATAGGCAGCACTGATGGGCAATGATAGGCAGCACTGACTGACGGCACTGCTAGGCACTTACTGGTGGCACTTCTAGGCATTACTGGGTACAGATGGGTGGAACTGCAGGGCACAGGTGGGTGATACTGATCAGCACAGTTGGGTGGCACTGATTGGTACAGGTGGGCAGCACTGATGGGCACTGATGATCAGTCCTGATCCATTCACTGACAATTTCCGGTTCTCGGCAGTACTTTCCTCACGCTGTGATAGCAGCCGATAACCGGCAACTGTATTTACCGGTGATCTGTTGTGTCATTGGATACAGGTGATCACGTAGTAAAAGGCTGCTGGCTCCATAGGACACAGCAATCACCAGCGGCGCCGGGTGCACGCTGCTGGGGGAGCGGTCTGGCAGGACGTCTATGGACTCCCTCCCAGAACTAGACAACCGCGCTGTAGCCGTCTTTTGGCTATAGCGCGGTTGGGAAGTGGTTAAAAACTCACCCAAGATGCGTTTTTTCAAACAAGTTTGGTGCGTGGGGGTTTATTTAACTGGCCAGAATTTTAATTCATTATGGCTATTGAAATGAATAAACGCTGAAGTGCTAAATGCGCCTAGCATTTAGACGCATTTAGCAGTGTTAAGCGTTTTTTTTTTTTCTGCCAAAACTCTGCTGCTCCTGAACGCACTGGCAGAGAGTTTTTTTTTCCTGCCTCTAAACTCTTCTGCTACTAAACGCTACTAAAAGTCAATGTGTGCACGAAGACATAGGCTAACATGGACAGCAGTTTAGAGGCAGAAAAAAACAAAACAAAACAGAAGCCCCCAGAAGCAGCTGCAAAAAAGTCCATGTGCATGAGGCCTGATACCTGCACTTATCTGTGTGTATACTTACACCTGCCTACAGATTCTTTTATCTTTATTGTAATCAAGGGAGTGTTGCATATGTATGTATTTCCATGTATACACTCCTGTGTGTAAAAACACTGGCTGGCAACACAGATTTCTGTATTTTCCTTTTACTGATCTATACACAACTCCATACAGGCACATTGAAAACAATGGTCTGCATTTGCATCAGAAAAAAAGCCACCTGGATGCCTACAAAGGCTGTATTTTTAGGAAAGCAGTGTGGAAGAGGCCTTATAGGGGGGATAAACCAGGCGTAGATTAGATGCAGATTTGGGGTGCACTAGATATAAATAAGGAGTCTACAGACAATCTATGGACCCTCACTGACTGGGTGATCAGTCATGGTACAGCAGTGACTGGTTGCCCAATAACCCCTGGAATCACTTCACTAGATATGTGCGGTTCATTTCATTCTGAATTGAAATTTGGACTAAAGTTTAATTATTCAGATGTATCTGAATTTCCAAATTACAATAGTAACAAATCTGAAGTAACGAAACTAATTTTCGGCCAAAATTCAAATCAAATTTGAATTGAATCCGAAAACAAAGTCGAATTATAAACATATTGCTGACTATTGCTGATTTCCTTCAAAGACTTTGTATTAGTGGTAGACTATAGCTTTTTTCCGAAATTCGAATTTTGAAAAGAATAGAATAAAACAGAATAGAATAGAACATAAATGAATAGAATAGAAAATAAAATAATAGAATACAAAATAAAGGAATAGAAAATAATAGAAAAAAATAGAATAGATTTGAACAGATAAGAATGAAAGAATATAGCCCCCCCCTGACTTCTCCATCAAGATCAATAACACAACCATCAGTCCCCCCCCCCCTCATGCCAGGGTACTAGGTGTAATCCTAGACTCCCATCTGTCCTTTCAGCCACAGATCCATTCACTGTCCAAATCGTGTAGACTTCACCTCCATAACATCTCCAAGATACGACCGTTCCTAACCTCGGAAACCACTAAGCAACTTATTCACTCCCTTGTTATATCTCGCCTTGACTATTGTAACTCCCTCCTCATTGGCCTACCTCATTGCAGGCTATCTCCTCTTCAGTCTATCATGAATGCTGCTGCCAGACTCATCCACCTTACTAACCGTTCCGTATCTGCCACCCCACTCTGCCAATCCCTCCACTCTGCCCCAAATTACATCACCAATCCTGTCTCCAAATATCACCCAAACCATCCTTTCTGCTCCTCCCACTCTCTGGCTCCCTTGTCTCCTCCTCTTGTATTCATCTCCAGGACTTCTCCAGAGCCTCCCCCATCCTCTGGAACTCTGTACCCTAATCTATCATATCAGACTATTGCCTACTCTGCCCACTTTTAGGCAATCTCTGAAAACCTATCTCTTCTGGGAAGCCTATCTTGCCTTCCTCTAATAATGGAAACTTCTATTCCTTCTACCAGTCCATCCCCCACAGTTATTACCTTTTGTACCACCAGCCCCTCTCTCCTAGATTGTAAGCTGCAAGGAGCAGGGCCCTCCTAACCCTTGTATTGAACTGTATTGTTGCTGTATTGTCTCCCTTTATTTTGTAAAACGCTGAGAAAACTGTTAGTGCTATATAAATCCTGTATTATAATAATAATAATATTATAGCCATCTTCCGTAATTCGTATTTCAAAAAGAATAGAATAGAAAATAAAAGAATATAATAAAATATAATAGAAATTAAAAGATTAGAACATACAAGAATACAATAGAAAAGAAAAAAAATAGAAAAGAATAGAAGGAATATAACCGTCTTTCAAAATTCAAATTTCTAATAGAAGAGAACCAGCTATTCTTCACAGCAAATTCGGATCAATTTGATATTTTCGATTTGAATACTTCAAATCCATTGGAAAAATTCAAATCTGGTCAAAAACAAATAAACACAACTAAATTAAACAAAAAAATTTTGTTACGAACGTAGCAAAACAAAATTAGTAACAAATCATTCCGAAATGAAACAAAACATTTTTTTTTTTTCGTTCGTGCACATGTCACACTTCACCCCCATTATAGAGGCAGTGTTCCAGCCTCCAGGATAAATCATACTCAATATTGGCTAACTGATTGGCTAGCTGAAGTCCAGGAATGGATTTTATTGCATTGTTACATTGATCCAGCTTGGACCATTATGAGTAGAAGCAGATGATCACTGTAGTAGTCCACTGCACTAGTGATCACTGCTGTCTTCTGAGTCCTGTGTTGAAGTTTTGCCATGCTGCTTACCAACCCACAAGGGGTCCCTCATTCTGTGCAGGCACTATTCATAGAATGCCTTGCATTTTCCTTGATTTCTAAAGAAGTACATGCACTACTTATAAAATAAGTATGCAGCGCTAATGTAAAAAATATAGAATCAGATAGATGAAAAAAAATATATAGAATCAGATAGATCAGAAATTGCACAATATCATATTCCAGCAACTTAGTCCATATATAGTGGTACAGCAAAGTGATTATGTGCAAATGTTCATAAATCCGTAATAGAGGGATAACCGTGACTCTTGTGCTCTTGAAAGTATACAAACATTGCACTAACCAGATAGCGCATTAACTGCGCGTGGAGCAATTAAGACCTGCTCCTGGTGCTCTGGACTTGTAATACCATGAAGATGTCATCAGCGTGTAGGCCACTAGGTGTCATCAATCTAGGTGTGCTCTTTAAACTTCCACCATGCCAGTCACCAGGGGGGGAGGGAGAGGTCACACACTAATCCAGGTCATCAGGAACCTTCAAAAGCGGGCTCCCATGGAAATGATGAGCCCAGAGAAAGCTTCCAATAGTGCAGTAGGTCTTTAATTCACAAAATTCCAGCATATACAGATTAAAAAACAAATTTACATCCGGATCCGATATGGCCACCGGGTGTCAATCAGGATGGCCTTGCGGTATATGTACAATGGTCAGGGGCACCTCTCTAACGCGTTTCGTGTGCTTACACTTCCTCATTTCTTGTACTGGGTTTTA